GCGGCAACAAGAGTCTGTGAAGCAAAATTTAATATGCATATGATCTGTAGTTAAGTAAATACGTAAATATTTATATATGCATATACATACATATGTATGTATGTGTTCATAMTGGCCAACACTCTAGTCGATCCAGCTGACGATAGTGCATATTTTACATGTCAGCAATTTCAATGGAACTCCGATAATGATTTAATTGCCATTTAATAGCACATATTTAATAGGATTTGAAATGGCAAGCAAATAAAAGAGAAAAATTGCAAAAAAAAAATTTAAAAATATAAATAACATCGAATTATTGCTGAAGCTTTATTGCTCTATGTGCTTTTATTGCTGTTATTACATTCATACATATAGTATATTAATATGTATGTATATTCATGTTTAGATGGCAGATAAATGCCGCTAACCAAAATGCCGACATGTCTTGGAAGCTGCAGCTATTTCCATGACGCCTGCACGCTAACACCACAGTGCAGTGCGTTGTATGCATACTTTTTGTAATAACTGCGTCTTTTTTTTAACAAAAGCTCACTTATGCACTTACAAGCACATCTGTTTGTTTGTATGTAGTATAATTGCATGTTGCTTTGCACATGCATAAATATATATGTATTTATATATAATATATTTGTGCTCATGGCATGCGGCCTTTTCATGGTTTTACTTACTTAGTCGTAGAAAAAGTGCAAGTTGTTGCTATATAAGGCATTGTAATGGATTTCAAATGAATAAGTACTTATGCATGCGTAAATATGCATTTATGTGTGATTTAACTCATAACTTTTTATTTACTTTAACATTTGTAAATATGCATTTCTTGCGCTTTTACTTGGCGAGGTGCAACATTTTTCTGTTCACCTGCGTTTGCGTTTTAATCAATTCGCTGATTTACTAGAAATCGCGTCGCAAACGATTTTAATGGGAAATACCAATGTTGTAATTTTTTATTCATTTCTAATGTCTTCATATAATTTAATTTTGCTTCGAATGTATGGAAGTGAATAGCGAAGTCGATACGTCGATAAATTTATTTGAAAAATGTTAACACAAGCAGCTGTTAAATATGTACATCTACGCTGCAAGCAAACTAACCGTTAATCCACTGGTTAATTACACCAAAGCGCTAACAGAGATGGCGTTCTTGCCAATTTAYGCCATTTTCAATTGATAATTCTAACCGCAACTGTTGGGGCGGTGTRATCGTTCACCCCTTTCTTACGCAAAGGGCTTATAAGTTGTATGTGTTAGCTTCCATGCTAATCCTTTCTGCGTATTTGCTATGAAGAATTTGGTAACCAATAAAAAGCCGAAGTATTCAATACATAATAAGGATGGAATGTCATATCTTCAATAATTTGTAATAATTTTGTCAGGAATCCAGAACTTTGCTAAAATATTTTTTCTTTTAAATTATACATTTTTCTGAGTTAACTTATGGAAATCAAAATATTTCACTTATCTATATTTTTGCATAAAATTGAAGGTTTTATTTATAGTGATCAGATTCGGGCCAAATATGTACCATTTCAATAACTTATTGCCTTTTGAAATTATTTCCAAATGCTACTGATAAAAACCTTCTCCCTATTGGCAAAACACTAGGGCAGTTAATTTCTAAAAGCTCTTCCTGAGGCGAATTTTTCACCACCAAAATCATTTGTTACCAGGTMCAGACTATATGCTTAAAAATCTGGCAACCAAGCTCCAGGAGATTCTGACGAATCACTATTGATGTATATGGCTTTCTTTTTATTTCGTGTGTTCTCTGCTATCCATTTTCAACGCGTGCTCAAACATCACTGAGTAAAGCAATCACAAAACCGTTGAGAAGTTTGTTTAGTACAAACATTTTCTTCCTAAGCGTATTTCGATCGCAAGGCGAGATACAGATTACTAAAGCCATCTACTGGAAAAATAATGTATTTATTTTTACTAGGTCCATATTATATATACACTATTTAAGATGTTATATGAGTTTACTCGGGTAATTCTTTTTTTTTTCTCATATAAAAAATGAAATATTTTATTAGAATTTTTTATTGTTAGAAACATACACTATTATCAAAGACATTCTGAAAGAAGACAGGTGTAAAAAAAAAATTCTTAATCAGTAAGGATGCTGTTATAGTTCCTATTTCAGGGAACACGAAAAAAAATGTTTTTGAGAAATGGCGACTGCCTGAAAATAAAAATCATTTTTTACGCTTTTTTTTGAAATTCCTTACTTTAAAAAAAAAATAAAAACAAAGGATTAAGGATTATATAAAGATAAAGGATTATATAAAGGAGGTTCACACAAAGTTTCAAGTAAATCGGTTGTATAGAACTTGAGAAACCGTGTGGAAAAGAGTAGTTTCGAGAAAAACGCGTTTAAAAAAGTGGGTCTACCTACCTACCGAGCTAGTTACTACTAAAGTAACTGTAGCTCTTATAATAATTTTAATTTTTAAAAATCCTTTGGAGGATAGGTTCTTAAGGGTCTAAACTTTAAACATATGAAAAAATTKAATTTTTCAAAATTCTAGAGTAGAATACGTACCCCCTTACAACTTGGACGAAGGAAAGAAAACTGAAAATTGCATTTTTGGCAGACATTTTTACAAAAAAAATTAAAATTTCAGTGAAAATATAGCGTCAAATTTTTTCCCAAATAGAGGTAATAGAAAAGAAAACCTTCGTCCACATCTTTAAAAATTGTATCTCAAAGACCTGTGATAAATTTCATGAAGATCGGTTAAGTAGTTCTCGAGAAAATTTGCCTACCGACTTCAAAAGTTCATAGTTTTGAGAAAAACGCTGTATCTCCGAAAATATTACTCAGACCAACTTTAAAATTTCTAGAGGTGACAATAAAAAAATTGATTTTTTGTAACCCGTAAACCCATGTAACACCTTAAGACTGTACTTCACTATTATTCAATTTTTAAAAAGTCAAAAAGTCATATAAGACTACAAATAGCGCAGGAAGCTCGACTTAATGAAGATTCAAATGCATTTAGTTGTCCTGACGGCAGTTAAATACATATATTATTAGTTTCCATTCAAAGTATTGTTCCCAGTTGGGTCGTTTTAGATTACAAAACATGTTCAGGTGGTTCTTTGATTATCCAAGATATACACACAAATAAAGGAGCTTGAGCTTCTCTCTTGAATTTATGAGATTTTGTCATAATTCAAAAGTTAATGATGAAATGTGGTAAGATCTGTTAAGGTCGTCAGTAGAACATATGAAAATTTCGCTGGATAAGAACTGGCACTGACATTGATGGCATAAGATAGCTTTCWCCGAAAACTCTAAACAAGCTTAGTTTTATAAAAAAAACATGCTTCGATTGCGTCTTATCTTATGCTCTCCTTTCTTTTGTATTATGCCAGCATTCTTAAAACTATAACTTCAAACAACCAAAGCACTTCCTAAAGCTATTCAATAAGCATTTCAGATGAGGAAATGTACATTGCTTTTCCCAACTCCAAATCAAATGCTTTTCCTGTTGTAAGGCGCTGGCGCTCACGAAAGCCAATAAAAATATAAATTTTATTAATAACAAGCAATTATTACACAACTCAATAAAAGGCAATGATAAACTTGGAATGGTGCGCTGAGGTGGGCTCGGGGSCCTTATGTGTCTTCCAAGTAGTGGTGTTTACAAGAAAATATTCTGGCATTTCTATTGTAAATTCCAAAAGCGTCGCCGCAAACAACGCTGAGAAGCAGCAAATAAGAAAAAAAAAGTTAAAAATTCATGCAACAAATGTACAACAACAAGAGTATATATATTTATGTGAGATTGTCTGTTTGTAGCATAAAAAGTATTCCAAATGTCTTGTGCATTTTGCGTTCGGAATGTATAAATCGAGAAAGAAAGCAAATAAACCGACAGCAGCAACTYCAATAGCCGAGGAAAGCATTTAAAGAGAGGAAGCAGTTGTCCACACGGTGGCGCTTTGAGAACAACAYACATACACATATTTACAATATTTTTATTAGTACATACACGGTATGTATGTATGTACAAACCGCTTGCGTCTATGGTGGTTTTTGTGCGGCGGCACGCGCATAGAGATTTCATGTGGCGGATCGCCATCAACAGCACGCCTGCAGGCGCATTGCCTGTTGGCTGGCCACGATCACCGATCACCTCTAACTAACCATCAGTTTGATAATAGTGCGGCCAACTTTGGCGCCACTGTTTTGCCAGCGTTTATAAGACACAGTGTTGTGTGTGCTGTGTTGCATTGTGTTGACGCTGATTTTTTATGCGATTTCTTGTGACATGTACGTACATATTTCTATGTATGTATGGTGTCACGTACATACATATGTATGTGCCTTTGTTCAATACGCACGTCCGACACAGTTTTTGAACGCTTCTTGGATGTGAGTGGGAACATTTCGTTTCGTTTGAAGTTTTTTTTGGCTAT